AGATAGGTGCATTGTTTGCCAAACTCAACAGTGGGGACATATCTAGAAATGCTGCTGATAAGCTTGTTCAGCTTTGCCAGGCATTGGATAATGGTGATTTCGGTACTGCCCTGCAAATCCAGGTACGTTTTTTAAAACTTCAAACTTTTTTTTTCTTTTTTTTTGATTTTTGCATTGCATAAATAATGAGCTTTAATGGGGGCTCCTTTGGTTTCTGCTTGATATCAGGTGCTTCTTACCACTAGTGAATGGGATGAGTGCAACTTTTGGCTCGCAACTCTAAAGAGGATGATCAAGACAAGGCAAAATGTGAGACTATAAGCCTGTTATTACGCAAGTTTCGGATTGTTTGGTTCCCAGAAATCTTTCATGGCCTGATCTGCAAGAGTGCGGGACGGTTTGTTTTCATGCATTCAAGAAGTGCATATCTAGATTTTGGCTTCGGGATTTGACTAGCTTTCGATTAATTCTACCTTGGAAGGCAAATAGTGGGTTTCAACGCAAATAGTGAAGATAGTCTCTCCGCACATTAAAAGGACTTCATGGTGGCTCTTTCGGTTTTACTTTTGTAGTGCTTAGAAATAGCATTGATTTTTTTTTTTTTTTTTTATCACTTTCGACATTTTACATAAATTCATAGAACGTTTACTCAGCTGCTTTGAGCTTTTCCTAGTGATCTGGGTACCATTTTGTCATAGGCATGAAATTGTACCACCTTTGTGTCTTTGTTATATGAACACAATTAGAATTCCGACTTCAATTTTGTTGAAAATGACTGGCTGTGTATCATTTATGTGTTACTGTTTTTGCAATCTGAGATTTCGGTATGGTTTGGGCACATGAATTTGAAGGGGCCTCTTATTATTCATGTCAGCGTAAGTGCACTTGGTCTCTTTAGAGATTTCCGCTGTCTAACGGTCATATATGATATTATCTTTTTGGTTGCATATCGGATTGTTAGATGCTGAATGTATTAAGTAAATGCTATTTTCGAGTTTATTACGAGGAGGAAGATAAGTTGTAAATGTGCATTCTGCAAATTTGTATGGATAGATTGGCATTATATCGATATATATGCTACATTTGTATTAGACATTGTTCATGTGATGTTCACATTTCCATACCAAGGTGGCATGACCAGATGTGGTCGAGTTGAAGCACCCCAAGAACTAAAAACTAAGTTGGAGGACTAAATTGTAATTTGAAAGTGATGGATAAGTTTAGGAGCACCTACAAGTTAGCCCTCGAACTTATCCACCACTTACAATTTAGTCCCCAAATCATCCACCACTTCGAATTAATCAAGTTTTGTTTTCATTTGTCCCCTTTTGGTAGTGATTCTTGGTTGAAATTGAGAATAAAATCTATATTTTCAACGTGAGATTTACTTTTACTTTACTTTGGTGTTAATAAACGCATATGATATGTCAAGAATTATATTTACCTTTGCTGTCATTCTATTTCTTGGCAGATTATATTTCTTGGTATCTTGTGGACTCCACTTGTGTTTTCTTTTTCAAACAATTAAACACATTAGCAATTTGTAATCGAAACCCACCTCCTTACTTTTATTTCGAAGAAAAACTAATAAAAATGGCTTGAAAGTTTTGAGTTTTAATGATAAGGACAAAATAAAGGGTAAAATGAATAGTACTAGGTTTGACTTTTTAGTGTAAAAATGTGATTTTTCGTTAAAATAAACAGTACCGCGGACTTTTCTTTAAAACTCCCTTTATTTCGAAGGAAAACTCATGGATTATTACACTAGTGACTACAACATGAACCTAGTTCTTTATAAATAAGTGGCTTGCTATTGAAACTCTTTTTTACTTTCTACGCACCTTTCTCAATTTTCAGCCGTTGAATCGAAAGAGTTGAAGAATATCAAAGAACATTTATCGACAAGAGATGTGTAAGAAATAAAAATTGATGTATGAATAACATGGAAGAGGATCCTCTCCTGAGCTCATGATGAGGATCCTCCTGACCACGAAATCAGGAACGTTCAAATTTAATCCAACGGCTCCAAACAGGGGGTCTCTCTAAAAGTTATAATAATTGCAACCGTTAAATTAAATTTGAACGGTCCGGATTTCTTGGTCAAGAGGATTCCCATCCTGAGCTCAGGAGAGGATCCTCTTCCGATTAACATCACCAAACAATGAATTTGAGCCAAAAAATAAAACCGCGCCACACGCTAGGCTACAGTGATATAAGGCCTATCGAGTTTCAGAATTTCAAAAAAGTAGAGGCCAAGAAGTAGCTGTAAAGCCTTGACAAAGGGATACCTAATATGCTTGTTTCTGCTTGCTGCCAAACAGCTAAAAACACAATTCAGTTTGAAACCATGTTTGGAGAGCAGGCTAGCAGTGCTCTGGAATCTTTTGATATCTTTCAAAATTCAGTTTGTCTTGTACTTGATTGTTTTATCCAGTCCAAAGGGAAACAAACAGTAGATATAGCCACAGCTACATGCCTACAACATAAAGAGAATGTTTGGCTGCTGCTACAAATCCATGCGAGTGCTCTTAAACTTGGTGTTTGTGCACTTTTCCACTCCTTTTCTTGGACCCGCAGAACACTCGTGTTCCCGGAAAATGCGTCATAAAACAAGCTTCTCACAACAAAATGAAGAGTTTCTTTTGACCATTCTCTTCTTTATTACTAACGATATTTTTACTTTATTTTATGTTAGACATAGGAAAAGAGTGTTCGAACTCAAAATGTTGCGAGATAAAGTAGAATAATAATAGCCATAGTAATTAAGGTAACAAGCATTCTTCGGTTGCTACATAATATAGTAAGCTAATGTGGCTCATATATAGGGATGGGCAAATACCCATTAGTTATGGATAACCGCGGTTACCCGCTTATTTAAATTTCACGGTTACGGTTATGGGTATAACCGTTTACTTGTGAAATTTAAATTGGCGGTTATGAGTATTAACCACGGTTATAAACGGATAACCATTTACCCATTTATTTTATATATGTAAAATTAACAAAAACCATGTTCCCTATCGGACAAAACTTAGATAAATGCTATTTACTATAGTGCATGATTTCTATAGCTAATATAATATAATTTTTCTTAAACACTTTAAATTTCATGGTCCATTATATATATTATGTTAATTTTTTACATTCCGAGTCAAATAACTCAAGAATAATGTCTTTTAATAGTTTTCGTAACCCAATAATACTTGGCAAATTTTATATTACCTTCATTGCTAACAGTTAAAAATATTGTCTGTAAACTATTATTTCAATTATTGGAATGATATACGGACTTAAAAAATTAAAATGCGGAAATGTATGATGAATGTACCTATAACGGTGTTTAATTGTTAGAAAAAAAAATTATGACAAATTTTTCTTTTTTAATTTTCAAGTTGTTAAAAACACGTAGATGGGAGAAAAAGAAGTAAATGGTAAAAAAAAAAAAGGATAAACGGGTTTAAAATGATAAATGGGTAAACGGGTACTAAACGGTTACGGTTAAATGAGTACACGGTTATGAGTATGGTTAACCGTTTATAAATGGTTATGGATATGAGTATAACTGTTTAGACAATTACCCAACAGGTAAACGGTTATGCGGGTATGAGAATAAACGGTTATGAATAAATAACCGCGATTACCCGCCCGTCATAACCGTGCCCATCCCTACTCACATATGTAGTATATCTAGCATTATTCACAAATCATACAATATGCCTTTGATTTATATACATGAGACTTATCTACGAAAAGTCAATGATCATTTGATTTATCAGCACTTATGACGTATTTATGACGTATTTACCACACGAGATTAGAGTGGGAAGAAACAAAATCGCACTCTTCACTATGCATTCGAGCATTTGCTAGCATTTAGGGCATCAGAAGAGTTCACCTAATCTCATAATTGGATTACTCAAATAGAGAAGTCAGATTCTTACTTCACCCATATTTCAACTCCTCCTTAATTTAATTTTTCTTAATCCGATTGCGTATTAGTAAACCAGCTATTTAGTATATGAGGTGGGTATCTATCAATAAAGGGGTAGAAATTAGGAAATTGAACAGTAAAAGTAAAGGGACTGTTACAGATTAAAATTAACTGACAAGACTAGGCATTTTCATGATGGGTAAAGCAACAGTGTGATACTGTAAGAGAGTCAAACAAGAATTCAAAGTGAAATGATCTAAGTTGAGCCCTTCGATATATTCTTGGTTGAAAATAATTCTACCTTGTCGACCTAATGTCAAACCCATCTAGAAGCAACAAATTGTCTACCATGTTACATGTACACGGTATCATCATCGAGTGCTTGCGATTTCTCATTTAATCCAAGTACGAGTCAATAAAGCATGATTAATCTATACCTTCAAAGAGAAGAATTAAGTCGTGCATCTACCAGCTACATCTGCGTTTTTTACGCAACGTGAATTTGTATTGTGGAAAAATCCAACTTAAATCGTGCTTTCAAATGGGTATTTACTTCGGGTCAAAGATTTAGAAAAAATGAGAGATTGGAGAAACTCAGACAAAAATAGTTATTTAGGACTCGTTTGGAAATGCTTTAAAATGACTTGGGTTCCACAAACACTTCGGGTCAAAGATTTAGAAAAAATGAGAGATTGGAGAAACTCAGACAAAAATAGTTATTTAGGACTCGTTTGGAAATGCTTTAAAATGACTTGGGTTCCACAAACACTTGAAGTGTTTCGAGCAAGAAGCATCAATTATGTGTTTCTTCCATGAAGCACTTCAAGTGTTTTTTTTTGTAGGGTTCATTTGCAGTTTATTAAAGATTGATTCAAAAAATATTTTCATCAAACCACACCACTTTCAGCGATTTTAAAAGCACTTTCAAATGAGGAGTCCAATTGATGATGATTAGTGATGAGTAAAAATGTTTATAATTTAATTAGTTTGAGATTGCAATGATGCGGGGAAACAATCAATACAATAAAGATGAGCAAAAGGGCACGTTTCTGCCAAAATAACATAAAGCTTTTCATCATGATGCACTATACACTTTCATGGCTTCTGTTGCAAGAATACGTACTAAAATATGGAAAGAAAAAAAAATTGAGAGTAATTTTCGAAGCATGGGAAATTTTGGTCAAAAATAAAAATAAAAATAAAACTTGTAGATTGATACCATTCTACAATTTCGTGTGGATTAGAAGAGACGTTTTCTTCGTGACTTGTACATCTTCAACTTTCAACTTGAACAAAAGTATCCATTGCTTCCTTTGACACGCACTGAATCCAGTGAATTATCGAATACGTGGACACCAATCAAAGCCTAACAAAAAACAAAGTCGCATAGACATCTATGAGGCTCACAACTAAACATAAATCTAGTGGTATGCACACACACTTGAACCAAAAACAGATTGCCTGTTCTTCTGTTCATCTGAATATAAACAAGACATTACAAAATTTGAAGGCATATGCAGTGCAACGAGCCACAGTTCTTCAAAACATTACTCTTGACTCGGCAAATCCTAAGGATCCCTGAAATTTGAACAATGCGGTAACAAAGATGCAGAACTACAAAGATCAAAAGCGGTATCACTTGGCATTTGACATATGTGAACTTTCAGACTACAAAAATCTTCATATCATTCGTCGACATTAAACAACTTACAAGACAAAAAACAAAAATGATCAAACAACTTACAATTGGGGAGATCAATTAACAACACATTAACAAATTAACGAATCACAAGACGTGAGGAAGCAAAACCAAGAACAAATAAGAGAGCAACAAATCTGCATCAATGTAAAATTTGCAAGCAAGAAAGCTTACATGCCTTCGTTCTATTCACATAAATCAAATTTATGCAGCAAGCTGTATACCAGCAGCTGCACGAGAATTGCCGCTCACATGAGGCATTGCATCATCTCTCCTTGAACATGTAAATGACTTTTTCCCAAAAGAATGATTTTGCATCAAATCAGGGACTCCTTTCCCATTACCAGGAGTTGATTGATTACTCCTACCAATATATCTTGCACTACCAAATCTAGAAACCAGATTCGCCGATTTTGAACTGGAGTTATCTCCATCTGCGTTACCATGGAACTCCGACTCCCCATCAGTACCTGCCATAAGCTCCATCAGATTGGTGCTAAACCCCAAATCTGAATAAACTCGCCGCGAATTCCTCAACGCTTGCCTAGTCAATTTCGCTTCTAGGGCTTCCAAATTCTCTTCTCCAACACCCTCTAGCTTCGAAGTCAAATGTGCATTCCTTGATTCAACCGGGCGCCCCATGGTCTCTACCATTGTACATGGATTGTTAAAACCATTCCACGAATGCAGGGGAACCAGTTTACTCAACCCAGTAAGCCAAACCACGACCTCCTTCATCGATGGCCTACGCTCCCTACAAGACCTCACACACTTGGCTGCAATCACAGCTAATTGCTTCCTCACAACAGGGTCTTTAGGAGGTACAATTCGCGGATCATAAACCGTTATCAGCTTCCCTCGCTTTATAAGCGGGATAGCCCAATCAACGATCGAAGGCGGAGAATGCCCAACATCAATAGCCTTCCTACCACTTATAATCTCCAACAACAAAATCCCAAAACTAAAAACATCAGTTTTAGTACTCAAATTGTCGGGGGTCACATAGCAAGGGTCCAAGTACCCCATCGTCCCCGCCGGCGGGGTGGACCGGAGCCTATACTCGTCGAACTGGCAGTACCTCAGAGCCAATCCAAAATCCCCCAACCGGGCATTGTAACTACGATCAATCAAAACATTAGCAGACTTAATATCTCTATGAATTACAGGTGGGTTCGATGAATGTAAAATGTCAATTGCCTTAGATGTTTGCAAAGCTAATCTAATCCTACGACCCCAATTCGGAGGCCGATTTGTACTCGAATGCAAAACATCGTACAGCGTACCGTTGCTCATGAACTCCACCACCAAAAGCCTTTCTTTCGAATCATTCGAAAACCCCAAAAGATTGACCAGCCTCGGACTCTGAATCTTGGACAAGATCTCGAGCTCATTGTCGACCTCGTTCGCGGTCTCCGGCCCAGAAGACGAGGTGGGTCGGAGTCTCTGGCTGTGAGCTCTCGAGGGTCTTTTGACGGCAACAAGACGGCCACGGAGCACAGCTTTGTAAACGTAGCCATGGCTGCCTTTGCCTAAAAGCTTCTGGTCGGAGAAGCCATTGGTGGCGGCGACAAGATCACTGTAGTCGAAGTGTTGGATCTTGATGGGGTTTTCCGGGGTGGCGGTGGCGGTGGTTTTGGACGATGAGGTTTGGGAATTGGCGACGGAGATGGCTGATTGAGCTCTGCAGGAAAGGTACCCCATTAAAGTAAAATCGAGATTTCGACTCTGTGTTTTGGTTTTCTGGATGGATTGAATGGGAGAGACGAGAGTTTGGTGTGATGAAATATACGTGACTTCGATTATATGAAATTTCCAGGACCAAAGTTGGTTGAAAATTGGGTTTTGTTGGTGTCGTGTTCTGCAACTGTTTGTGCGGTGTCGTTATTGTATATAAGCAATTATATTGACCCAAACAAAAGATGGTTGAAATTTGAGTTTTCTTGATGCCCTAGGCAAATTAGTATTTATTAAGGGAATAATTGTCTTTGTCTAATTAATGGAGTGATTTTTCAGTATGATCGGAATACGAGGTGATACATCACATGTTATTGTACAAATAGTGAGATATGTGTGTTAAAAATTTAAAAAGTTAAAATATTAAAAAATTTCACTATTTTATATAAAAACAGTTAGTGTACTACTCGTGTTCCGGTAACAATGAAAATTTTCTCCGATTGATGGGTCAATTCTTGCCAAAATAGGGTGGAGTTACTCGTGAGCAAGTCTTCTCTTACTCAATTGCTACCATCTCCACCCCAGTCCAAAAAGTCAGACAGTTCATGGGCTCACAATTGCCTGACAAGCCCAGGTGGCGATTTTAGCCAAACTCTTAGCCCGAGTTTGATTTGATGCCAGCATGAGTTCGGCCATGTGCAAAAAAAATTCTACGTCAGACGCGTGCAATACAATGCTCGTGGGTGGCCCGTCATGAGACAAAAAAGTATCGTGAGGCCTGCGTTGCAAGTTATCTAAAACGTGATAGAATCTGGGCTGTTGGATTTCCAACTGTCCTCATTACTTCAGCCATTTTTTTTGTTTAAACAAAAAAAAAAAAGAAAAAAAAAAGAAAGTGACCATTTTGTCCACATGGCACAATTTGGCACATTGTCTTGAAAATTAAATGAATCTAACAGTCCATATTAACTTGGTTAAAAAAATAAAAATTGAGAAAAAGTACAAGACAAGAATTTTAATGTAATTTGGGATAATAATACGTGGCGTGACAAAATTGATATATTTTTTTTAAAATAATGTTAATGTTTAATTTGGTTCGAAAATAATTTAAAAAAAAACAGAAAATGGAAAAAAATATTGAAATATTGCCTATAAATATCCAAAAGGCTACAAACAAAAAAAAGAAGAGAGAGAGATAGCAAATGGAGGGAGAGATGATCAATTTCTTGAAGGTATGGTTCACAGTCTATCTGTGTCTATGTCACTGCTAATCTGCTGTGCCACTGCTATGGCACTGCCAAGTTAGTCTCCAAAGGGTGCAAAAGCGCGGTGAAATGTTACGACCCAATTCTAAGAGCAATTTAAGAGCTCTTGAGCACCATTTCTTTACTAGAGAAATGCTCTCCTACGCACATGATTGTGCGCATGAGTTGCACATAACCTATCCCCACTATATTGACAGTATAATGATAGTACAATTAATGATGATATAGTATCCATATAAAGATACGATGTCAATACACTATCAATACGGGTTGCAGCCCACACCCACAACCCGCGTGCACTGGAGAGAATTTTTGTTCTTTACAAATCAGTTTTAAGAAGCTAGTTTTACCCAGATGCTCTATAAAGGTGGGAAGCATGAAAGGTCTTTGGATGGAGTGAGTAGATTGGAAGAGACAAGTAAAACATATGACAACTTTATATACGTGGAATATGTATATTAACAAAAGAATATATTTGTCGGATTTCTATATCTACATTATCTTCGTTGCAGGTTCATGAATCTGATATAAGAACTTATCATGTCCCAAAGTGAGAACCTGGATGCGAAGAACCGCACGTTTACTGACTTTTCCGATCCATCTCTGAGAAATTCCAAGTCCTTGGCAAGGTTGTTCGGCATACCTTCAGGGGCATCAAGCAAAGGTAATGCAACTGAACCCTCAGTCTCTAGGTTTTTGATCCACCCGCGTAACAAGTAATTCACAACCTGCAGGACAATGACAATTAGTCTTCTAAGAACACAAAACAAGAAAGGAAATCATCAAACGGGAAATCCAAAAATCCAATCGAAAGTGCTCCAACGAAAGGCGGATAGTGAATATGGTTTATGTACATTTTTCTTCGTAGAAAAATCCAACCAATCGACTTTTGCTGAATCTCTCAGAACTTCGATGAATGAAATATCTACTTATCTAAAAAGAGTTACTCTTGATGTATAAGAAACTTATTAACAAAATCACAAATAATATACAAGATTTACTTTCCTATTTTACTGATCTAAACACACAAACTTTTAATATGTATCCAAATTAAAACATATATAACAGCGATAATATATGCCAACTTTTCCTGCAATAGCAAGTATTCAATGCACGAAAAAGGATATTTCGGTGCTAATTAGTTAACTGCTTACCTCCGGAACTTCATCATGAGGGCAGTGACCAGCGGGACTGATCTCGTAATATGGAGCTTCAGGCACCTGTTGCTTCACCTGAAGGCCCCAAATAGGTTTCACCCATGGATCTTCTTTTCCATACATAAGACAGATTGGTATGTTGTTCATTTGACATCTATGGAAAAAAAAATGTACTGGTGCCTCTCAATTAACTTGCACCAGAAAAACGAAAGCACATACAAAATTGTCTTTATGCATATAAGTCATAACCCTTGTATTGTCTACCTGGCCAAAGCCTCCTTAAAGGATAATCTTCCTTGAGGAGCAAGCATAATCGAGGCCAATGATGCAGCAGCGGCTGGATGCTCTGACGTCTCAAGTATACGGGAAAATACTTTGTCAATGTTTGTTGAATGATCTGCATAAACTTGTTTGAGTACCTCTGCAATACTCTGAGGATCACTTATTTTTTGCCAACTGAAACCAATGAAGCAAATTAGAGCAGTTTATGTACTAACTTACGACCTGAATCATAAAACATATCCCCAAGAATTTTGCCAGCTTTAAAAACTTACAGTATTTCTGTGATCTTTCTCACACTGGCAGGTAAAGGAAATGATCCTGCAGACGGGAATATTTTTGCTAGTCTTGGAGATCTTACGGGATTAGGTAAAAATCCCCAGAAAGGAGTTGCATTCAGCAAGGTAACACCTTTCACCAAATGAGGGTTACATGCAGCAAAATACAAAGCAACAAATCCTCCTAGCGAGTTCCCCGCAATATAGACAGGTTCACCGATTACCTGCAAAGAAGAATGGTTGCATTTATATTGCTCATGAGTAACAACAGTCCGGGAAGTGATGAAGAAAGCTACTTCTCATATAGAAGAGAAAAAAAAAACTAAAATTAGATGTTATTTCGCCGCAAAAAAGTAGAAGTCATACAAACTCAAGCAAAGGAGCCATGTAAGATGCTCAAATTAGCACAAACAACGATGGAAAGAGAAGAAAGGAAATAGACCAAGTCATCAAAAATGCTTCCCAAACTTTAACAAACAGAGGTGCCATGAGCTATAGTGTACCTCTTCTATGAAGTAACGAACTTGATCCTGCCATAAGTCAATAGAGTAGACAAGCTCGCTTGCCCATGGTTCGGGTTTTTCTCCAAAACCCCACGCTAAATCTTGGCCGTCGGACATACCTTCTTCGCTCTTACGAGGGGCAGGGTCCTCAAAAGGCAATGACCTACCCTGCCCGAGGAAATCAATTGCCCACACTCTAAAATCACGCCCCAAATCTTTCAGTTGCTTCTCGTAGTGAAAAGAGCCAACCCCAAAACCAGGAAGAAACAGCACCGGAGGGGATCCCAAGTTCTCACATCCGGCTTTCTCGTAATGCACATTGAACTTGGGCTTCCATTCCCAAAAACAACTACTCACTGGGGCACCAAATTCGCCTTTGGATTCATCCGGTAGACCAGGAATCAAAACCTTAGTAACGGATTCCGCCGTTTCTGAAACATTTGCATCCTCATCCGCGCCAATTACATAGCCATTCGAGCTTCCACTTGATAAAACCGGACCAACATGCTTGAAGTTTTCACTGGTGTTCAATGACCTAAAACCTCCCCGGTATCTTAGTTGCTTCAAGAAAGACCGATCTAAACTGTAACACCTCAAAAGCTCGCTTCTGGGATCAAATTGAACACCACTAACTCCTTTTTTACTAACATCTGGGAGCCCGAATCGACGTAAATTTGAGCTTTTCTCTACTAATTTTCCCCTTAAATTTACAGCATCACAGCACGGTGCAGAACTGTATGAGAGTGTTTCCATATCCACTAAATATATTCTGCAAACATGAACCAAATCTGATATGAACAGAATTTCTAATCAATTTATCAATCATTAACTTGCAAATTAACACCTAAAAACAGTATAAGATAAATAACTTAATAGAAATTCTTCTTCTTTTTCTCTGTTGGGTTACCTTTAAATTCAGCAGAGAAGTGTCATAACAGTTGCGATGGCTTTCGTGGGATGCTCAGTCATTCTTCTCCAAGTATTTAGGAGATTCTGGCAGAATCTAGAGAGAGAGAGAGAGAGGGAGTTGCTTAAACGCTTCTTCTTCCTTTCGAGACAAGGAAAAAGAAAGTGACTTACAAAAATTGTGTTGAATAATTGTCCGTTAAACAACAAAACCCCACACCCCTCTGCCGACCTAAAAACACTAGAGAAGTTTAGTACCTTGTGATGAAATTACTTGTACATTTGTTTTATAACCTTCTCCTAAACACGAAGCGTTCAACTAGTTAGTAACTTAATTTGAAGCGAATCATGTATTTGTGCTTGTTCCATAGCATTTTTCCATGTTTCAAATCAAAAAGTGTTTTAATATCTGATTGTGACAAAATAATTGACAAATCAAATGTTGTTGAAAACACAATGAAATGTTCACGATAATAATCGAATAGCTCAATGATTTCTAATTAAGATTATTTTTTTAAAAGTGATTTTGAATGAGGATCTAAAACAAAGGACGGTCAAATTATGAAAAGAAATATTATAAAGTGCTCACAAAAGCATAATTAACTTTATATTAAATTGCTAACTGATTAACGTTGAAGCGCTTTTATCTTCTTAGTAAACTGGTTAGCGGTCCAACAAAGAAAAACAAGATTGGATTTTACAAAAAGGTTTGGGTAGAAAAAGCAGAAAAAAAAAACAAAGGAAGGAATAAGAAAGAGTAAATTGTAGCAATAGTCACTTAACTTTAACTTAATTGGAGCAATGATTATTTAAGGAAAAATTCATTACCATTAGTCACTCAACTCATCAAAACGTGCAACTATGGTCCCTCAACTAAAAATTCATTACAATTGGTCCCTCAACTAAAAATTCATTACAATTGGTCCTTCAACTTTAATCCAACTGGAGAAATTGTCTCTCAACTTTAACCCAATTTGGGCAATAATCCCTCAACTTTAACCCAATTCGAGCAATGATCTCTCAACTTTAACTCAATTGTAGCAATAATCCTTCCAACATAACTCGTTTTGACAAAATTCCGAAATTGACGAAAATTACCATAGCTACACGTTTTGATGAGTTGAGAGACCTCAATTGTAGCAATGGTCTTTCCATTATAACTCATTTTGACAGAACTTTGACGAAATTGATGAAAGGGACCATAACTATACATTTTGATGAGTTGAGTGACCAATGGTAATAGATTTTTAATTGAGGGATCATTGCTCTAATTTGATTAAAGTTGAAGGATAATTGCTACAATTTATTCAATAAAAAAACCGAGAAAAAGACAAGTGTATAGAAGACAGTAACATCAATATCATTGGTTCAACCAGATTCTTCAAAAGCTATGTTCCTCTGCAACTGAAATAGATTCCAATACCTACAATCGGATTCCAAGCGCCAATCAATCATGTTTCAGTGGGTCCAATCGCTTTGCAAAATCGAAGGGCATCATACGCTGCCGGTTCGGGTACAGTGCTAACACGTATTCTGGGTCGCAGCAGAGTGCGCCTAAGCGAGCTATTTCTTTACGCAAATGGATATATTATTTCCTCTTCTTTGTATTGCTTGACACGTTTAATGCACCTAAGTTTGAAAAAGACCTATTTGTTGATTTCTCACTCGAATCGAACTTGTGAGGTGTGATAATTTCTTTCTGAATTAATTTTAGCCAATTACCTCTAGACTTTCATAATTAGCCAAAATCATTCATGCGTTAGATTTTTTTCATTTTTATTTGATATTTTATTCATTTTGGTCATGTGATATTCATGTGAGAAAATTATAAACACAAAAACGTCATTTTACACAAAAATTAACCTATATCTTCCTTCACTCACTTTGACTAGCTCAGCTCAACTCGCCACAACAACCTCCTTTGACGCAACACATGACAGATGATATCTCCTGATTTCTTGGAATTGTTTCCTGTTTCATCAAGATTTCCTATATCATTAAAACATTCCTTTTATGTATTCATTGACAATTCACCTTCTGGATTATCGAGGGATTGAGCCAGTTTAGCTTCTCTTACCTTTGCTATATTTCCTGCATTTGCTGCTGTGCATTATCTTTTAACACAAGCTAACGAAGACACAAACGTAAACCCTAAAAGAAAAATATTCTCGAATCCACCAGAATTAGGAGAAAACCAAAAGGTTTATTTGACTAATTCTTGAATCCCCATTACAATAAAAGCCAAAAGGCTCCAATAGACTTAACTCAGCCCTGGAAAGTTCATGGGTATTTGGGGAAGTGAAATGACATAAATCAAACAGAAAACCAGAAGTTTGATTTTATTACAAACATTAAACGTTGTTTAGGAGGCTGAAAACCATCATTTTTTGCGTTAAACATGATGAGGTCATGGTAACTATGAGTCTTGTTCTTCTTGCAATTCTCCTTAAAACAACGTATTACACGTCCAATTTTGATTCCAGAAGATTTCTTACTGCATTTTCTATAGTCATCGATTGAATTCAATATTTCTCTGCTTTATTTCTTCTATTCTAGAATTTGAAACATTTTTTTCTCATCTTTCTTCGATGAAATTGACCTATCTCTTATCTTACATTAGACTTCTCCACTTGAAAGAAACTCAACTGCGAATTCGTCTTTAAATTGACTCTGACATTAGGAATCACAAAGCTAGATAATCACATATAATCTTTAACATGAGGAGCACAAACTTCTTCAAACATGGATGGTATAACCATGTATTCGGTTCCATAAATAAAATTTGAATAAGTAGTTGACTCATCTTGTCGTCCGGGTTCACATGCTTGGTAGTTCCTCGTGTTTGATAATGGCTTATCTTCAATCGCGACATCACTTTGTATTGGGGACTCGATTCATGTGCTTGGTAGTTCATCGTGTTTGATAATGGTTAGGTATATTCATGTGCAAGGTTTTATGTCTAGTTAGATGACCATTATAATAAATAAACATAAAATCATGTACATGAATCTTAACATATTTTGGCATGAAAACCATTCACAATGCAGGTATAAGGCCACATGGCTGAATCAGAGGTATTGAGAACTCAGAGGTATTCATAATTAATGTCTAGTTATTTATATGACAATCATTCAACTGTAACAGACTACTCAAGCAAAGTATGATCGTAAGTTAGCAAGTCAACACTAAACTACAATAATGTTTTCCTGTTTTTGACTGGAAGTCTAATTAAACAAACACTCTATAAGAAAAGAGAGAGAGCTTACTTAAGCTTGGAGAATTGCTTACTTGAATATGTACACTTGCTCTTTAATTAATATAATATGGATTACAAAAATATGGAAGGTTACAGAGATGAAAGTTTACAAAGTATGGAAGAAAGCTTTGAATACTTGCTCAGTGTGAGGGTTGAGGAGTTTACGTTTTTCTCGTGTGTTTTTTGTGAATGAAGGAAAGCCTTAGTTTATACAGATACGAGATTGCAAGATTACAAATAACTTTTCAAATAGTTACAAGAGTACAATTATTTACAGAGAATTTTTTTTTTCAAAGAAAAACTTATGGAAAATATTTGGAAATTTTAAATTTTAACCATAATGACAAAAATATATTATAAATAAATAGTAAACCAGCAATATTTCGTTAAAACTTTATTTTTTTTCATGGTTGTCACTATTTCTTCTTGAAGTATTCAGACTGTTTCTATTGGAATAAGTCAATATTTAGAAGAAAAAAAATGTAAATATCTTGTAATTATTAGAGTCATGTTTTAGGAAGGATATTGTGTCATTTACTTTGTTTCCTTTTGTAACAAGGATTGTATGTACTATTTATTCAGAATATGCAATACATGAAAATTAAGTCGTAAAATTCTATTTGGCATCAGAGCCAAGCTGCCGTAACCCTAGAAACTGTAAAACTTTTTCCATCCGTTGTTGTGTTGGTCGAATTGGTTCCTGCGCAGTTGTTGCAGAAATCAATTCAGGCCGTGTATTCTTGTATTGCAGGCTGTGATCCTGCTGCTGCTTCAAAGTACAAACTGTGCCGTGCTTTCGTGCTACTGGTGTCGTGAGGAACGAAGGAGAACAACTGTTGTGCACTGCAATTTTTTTGTTTCTTTTTTTTCCGCTGCATACCTATAGGAAGAGACAACTGTTGTGTCGTGTGTCGTGCACAATTGCAAGTGTGCTTTTATTGTTGCTTTCTAAGTTGCTGCATGAAAATAAAAAAAAGGGATTGTCTTTCTTGTTTATGACGTGTGTTGGTCCTAACGAAGGGAAAATAAGGGATTGAAAGTGTAATTTTGTTTTTCAAGTGCTGCTCTCTGTGTCTCTTGCAACGTGTGGTTCCGTAATTTGTTTGGTACTATAATTACCATGTATCGGTGTCTCGTGAGTTATTACAATGGTGAATATAGGTTGGATTTTGGATTCCGGTGTAACCGATCATATGACTTTTGATAAGAATTTATTTACTAGTATGACAACCAGTTCACGGAAGTGTATTGCAACTGCTAATGGAACAACAACACTAGTTTTGGGGGCCGGCACTGTGAACCTCACGCCAGCCCTTCCCCCTCATCACTGCCTACTTGTTCCCTCGTTGTCTCATAATTTGCTATCTATTCCTCAAATTACTGAGCAATTAGATTGTGTTGTACTTATGTATCCAATGTTTTGTTTGCTTCAGGATATTCAGACCAATGAGATAATTGGGCGTGGCACTAAGAGAGAGGGGTTATATTATGTGGATGACGTCGTTCCTGGCAGAGCTAATGCAGTTCGAGCATCCCGTACCAATAATTTACAGGAAGTTTGGTTATTGCATCGTCGGTTAGGACATGCTTCGTTTGGTTATTTGAAGCGTATGTTGCCTAATTTATTTCATGAAATAAAAGAATCAGACTTACATTGTGAGGTATGTATTCTCGCGAAGAGTCATCGCGTTTCGTTTCCTCCTAGTATGAATAAAAGATTATTTCCTTTTGAACTTGTGCACTCTGATGTTTGGGGTCCCTCTCCTGTTAGTACTTTGTCTGGAATTAAATGGTTTGTTACCTTCGTTGATGACTGCACTCGTATGACTTGGATTTATGTGATGAAGAATAAAAGTGATGTGGGTATGGTGTTTCGATCATTCGCTCAAATGGTTG